GACCCTGAACTTGACAAGTGCATACTTCATCGCAAGTAGCTCCTTGTCATGAACTGGACAGCTCCTTCCTGCAGCTTTGAGCTGCCGAGATTCGAACGCGATCACCCGATCTCGCCCCTCGACATCTGCTTACAGCTGTGCACAGCCGATGGCAAAGTCCGAAGCGTCACAGACGACGCTGAAGGAGCGATCAGGGTCTGGCAGCACCAGTATTGCTGCATGTAGGAGGCTGTCTTTGACCCCGTCAAAAGCCTCCTGATGTTCGGTGTTCCAACACCATTCCGCATCCATTTTAAGGAAATTGAATAATTGCCGGGCCATTTCTGCGTAAATTACGCTGTACTTGTGTGAGTAGTTGGCGCGACCAAGCCACTTACGCAAGTCCTTCTGATTCTTTGAAACCGGCCAGTCTACAATGGCCCTGACCTTAGCGGGATCCGCTCGAAGGCCACGCTTCCCAATGAAGCACACGAAAAAAGGAATCTCTTCTGCGGCAAAGACGCACTTGTCTGCATTGGCGTACAGTTTGTTCGTGCTCATGCACTCGAGCGCCGCTCTTAAATTCAATGGACGATGAGGTTCTCCTCATCTGTCTTCCCGTGCTCCGCACGACTATGAACGAAAATGTCGTCGAAGTATGTCTGTGCATACGCCCTGTGGGGCCTGAACAACTGCGTCACAAGACAATTTAATGTTACTGGTGCATTTGACAGCCCTTGGGGTATCACCAGCCACTCCAAGAGCATGCCGCTCAGAACGCTCACCGCTGTTAGCAAAATATCATCGCTCTCATGAGCATTTGGTAATACCCATCGACCAAGTCGAGTGCACTGTACATCGTACATCCCCACATGTTGTTCCGAAGATCATCCTTGCTAGGGATCGGCGTCTGTGCCGGAATGGTGGCAGCGTTGAGCTTACTGTAAGAAATGAACGGTACGCCACATGCCGTTCGGCTTCCGAACACAGAACGTGGGTGTCGAATGGGGAGACTTGCTCTTACGTCCCATCCCTGCGTCGTTCTTTGCACGGAAAAAGGCGTCAATGATATCGCACTGCTCCTTGGGCAGGGGCCATTGGCGCGTTTCGCAGTATTTGGCTCCCGGAACCAGGTCGATCTCATGACGCACTCCTCGGTCCGGAGGTAGGACCGAGACTAGTCTTTGAAGACGACGTCTTGAAATTCCTTAACCAAAGGATAGAATGGATCCAAGGGATTCTGTAGGATCGACTATTCACTTCGTGCGTTCAGCACTCTGTTGGTGTCCTCGAAGACAGCTCATCCAGATGCGATGACGAGTTTATCTCCTCGTCCGGTCGTACAATTACCTCTTCAGCCAAATCGCCTGCCTTCAAGGCACTGCCAAACTCTTCAAGTGACATCTAGTCCAGCTAAAGAAGAGCATCTACTGCAGGCATCGCCTCGAGGCGGACGTTGCCATCGTCCTCCCCGTCATACCGTTTATGAGGGTGCATAACTGTGCACCATCGTCTACGGTAGACACGCCCTGGATCAGGTTCGACGCT